GCTGAAATTAATACTATGCAGCTAAAGAACTAGGTATACGAAGAGTTTGTTTTAAAAAGAAGTATTTTAGGGATAGAATAGTAAATATTTTGATCAAACTTAAAGTGCTTATAAGCTGAAATTTGATAAGTTGGGGGGCCAACTTATGCCTTTTGACTTATTTTTAGCTTATAATCAAGCAATTTTAATTTTACCAAACGCGTAGATAAGCCAAAAAGAACTTATAGGCTAATTTGTACAGCTTATAAGCTTAGCCAAACCTCTTTAATTTGCACTTTTTGCTAACCTATATATTTCTTTCTTCTTATATAAGTATATTTCATTTCGCCATCGAAGTATCCAACTTCCCATTTCTGAATTTCTTCTCAACTAACACCGAAAGGGTAAAACCCAATTGCCTAATTTCACTCAAATTTGTATATTTATACTAAGAATCTTTAGTTTTGATTCCTTTACTATCTGGGTCTATCCAAATTCGGGGGTTTTTATCTGTCTTCTTTCTTCTCCATTGCATCAGGTGAAAACTTTAATAAGTATATTTTGAAAGAAATGTGAATCTTTGGTCAAATCTTAGTTGTAGCTGATTTTTATGTTGGTGTTTGTAGTTTTTGTTTTTCGAGCAATTAAGAATTTGAAGTTCATGTCTTTGATCAATTGAAGAGTATATGAACTTGATTCTCATTTCTTAATAATTTTGAATTATTTGATGTATCAAATTTGAATGTTGTTATCTTTCTGCACAAAGTGAAAACTTTATAATGTCTTACTTCTGGTTGATTTATATCTGGCTGTTTACTATTATTCCTACCAATTCAACATTTGAAGTTCATGTCTTGATCATTTTGAATTGCATACTTCATTCTTATTTCTTGATAATTTTGAATTGCGTTGGTGTATTCTTTCCTCTGTTGAATCTTTTCATACTCTGGGCTCTAATGTGTAATTCATTTATATTCAGCTTCTAGTGGGTGATTTTAAAATAAGGAGATTTGAAAGGGTGCATTTTTGTAAAGCTCAAATCTTTAGTCTAAGCCTTTACTGAATCTGCACATTATTTCTACCATCACTTGTTAGTTTTTAAGTATTAGCTAATCGAGGAGCTGAAATTTATCACAAGAGCCTTTTATCATCCCTTCATTTTCCCATTTGAATTGTTGTAGAGTGTTGATGGGGATCTCTAGCTTATACTTATCTTGGAAATTTTCTGCTACTGATCTTCTTTTCATTGATGAATGGGTTGTTCTGAAGTTGTAATCTTGGCGGGTTGTTAAATTGTAGATAAACAATCTCTGCAAGGATTGCCATGGACTCGATGAATGGCACCGATAATGTACCAGAAACGGCGACTCTTAAAATCAAGGCCTTCTTTGAGTCAGCTCCACCACTAAAAGATGCTGCTGAAATAGAGACAAAATTGAAGGAATTTGTCGACCGAAATTCTTCATCATCAGGCAAATTTGCTTCCATTCAGCTCTCATATCTTGTATTGTTTCAACTTCCTTTTCCACAATCTGGAAAATCGCAACGCCTGACTTTACTTTTGACTTTGCTTTTGTTGTCATCTTCAGAGAATGGAAAAATAAACAGGGTGGTGTGTGTGACTTCCGGTGGTACAACTGTTCCTTTGGAGAAGCGATGTGTTCGTTATATTGACAACTTTAGCTCTGGTCATAGAGGAGCTGCTTCCACAGAGTATATCATGAAACACCATACTTACGCCTTTTATTACACATTTGGTTCACATACATGTTTTACATTCAAGTTAAACTGGAATTGCAGGTACTTTTTGAAGGCTGGTTATTCTGTCATCTTTCTTTACCGTAGGTTTGTATTCAAGTGCATTGCTATATATTACCATTATCTCAATCAAGATTCTTCCCTTTGAAAAATAGTATATGCTCCTGACTGGATTCTTAAAGCCATGAAACTCTGCATATGCAGGGGAACTTGCCAGCCATTTTGCAGATCACTGCCTGATGATCCATTGCTCGAGTGTTTTACTTCAACTGATCATTCAAGTATTCAAGGTCTGTTAGTTTTTCATTTATGCCTAATACTGACGGACACCATTTGTCCATTACTTTCTAGATTCCTAGCAGCATAGAACTGCATGGTGAATTTAATAAAATATTCTATATTAATTATATAGGGTCATTTTAATAATATCTAATTTCTCAATACCTTTTCGTACTTTATGTTATAGAGGTGCAGCAGATCCTAATAAAATAGATGGAGAGAATCATAAGGAGAAAATGTAATTCTTGATGTGATGTAGTTTTCCTGGCTGGTTAGGGTTACTGGGAGAATATTTATTGCATTTCTTGGAATATTTTGAACTTGTCTGTTGTTACTGACCATCTCATACTTTCAAGTCTCACATACATTTTCTTAATGGTGCTATCTCAGTGGACCCATCGCATGCTGAAGTGGTGAAGAGAGCCATTTCTGAAAATCGTTCTGTAAGGATTTTTGTTGATTATTCATTTCACTATTTCACATACCAATGGTAACAATGAACCTTAAGAATATTTAATTGCAGGCAGTTAACGGGGGCTTCCTGTTGAAATTACCGTTTACAACAATTTTTGAGTATTTGCAGGTAATGTTCAATAGAGTTTTCTTTTGACAAGTAGGCATTGTTAGTAGATTGATGCATCTATTTGATATATGAGTGCCTGTAAAAGAATATTAAATGTATTTGTATTAAGCAGATTCTTCGGCTGATAGCTGTGTCTTTAAGGAGCCTTGGGCCTAGTGCTATGTTCTATCTTGCAGCTGCAGTTTCTGACTTCTATGTACCATGGGAGAGCATGGTAATTATTTCTTTTCTTCTTGCATTGTTTTGGTTGAATTTGCTGTCTGAAATGGTCGGATGCAGTTCAATCTTTGTGAATTTCTGTATTTCTTTCTTGTCTCCTCCCTCTTTTGTTTCAATACCAGAAATGGTAGTTATATAACATGTCATCTGATTTCAGTTCTTCTCACATCTTCTGGTATTTGCTTTACAGACGGTGCATAAAATCCAGTCAGGATCTGGTCCTTTGGACATGCGCCTTGCTCAAGTACCGAAGATGCTTTATGTGCTCAGAAATGAGTGGGCACCTGTGGCCTTCTGTATATCTTTCAAGGTTAGCTGATCATCTCTTGAGTTTCCTTGACCATAATCTTGAAGTCTGCTTTACCTGTAAAAATATGCTGACTGTACAAATAACCGTGTCAAATGTATCTTGAGAATAATTCTGCATATGATATGCCACTGCTGCCCAGGACTAAATAAGATCAAAATCGTATTCATATTCCCTTCATCTTATTCATGCAGCTCCATTATACATTTTCAGGTGTTCCAATTTTTCATTTGAAATACATTGACAAATATTCTGTGTCTTTTACAAGTTTCAAGAGTTCAACACTCACTAAGCAGTTCAAATTTTGACTATAATGTGTTCTTTTTCCTATCAAGTTTACATATGGAGTCTTAACAAGTATACCTTTTTGCTAAACAATAAAAGAACGTATAAAGTCGAACTAACTCAACCCGCATGCATAGTCAGAAAGTTCACATAAACTACTGAACAAAGGGAGTGCATAGATTCTTCCATTCCAACCTCCGCATCAGGTCTTAGAGTTGAAATATGCGGTCTTTTTTGGTGTTGGTGCCTTGGTGGTGGTGGTTAGGGAGGGGATGTGATATACTTGCATGTATTTGATGGATGTGAAATTAGTACTCTAATCTTGCTTAGCAACTTTTTTTATGTTTAGAATGAAGCATATACCTTTGAGTTGCAAATTAGAACTTTTAACCATTTGATTAAGTCTCAGGTTAATCAAGATACATGATTGTCAGTAGTTTGTCGACTGGTTCCATAACATGGTACTTGTCAATGAGTCACCTTGTATGACTGTTGTTAATTGGATGAGATATGCCTCTTTCACCAATTAGTCTGGACAAGTTTTATAATCAAATCCAGCAGTTAGATGTCAAATCATTGTTTTATAGGAATTTACTGAGTAGTCAAGTATATCCTTGACCTTTACTAGATCAAAGCACTGATTTTCTTCCCCACAGCTATATGTATATATATGTATTTGACCTATATATCTATATACCTCTAGTTATCACATAGTTTGAATACTGATTTCAACATCTACTTCTTGACAGTTGGAGACAGATACAGATATCCTTTTAGGAAAGGCTGATATGGCACTCAAAAAGTACAAAATGCATATGGTGGTTGCTAATGAACTTTCAACCCGCAAAGAGGAAGTTATAGTTGTGACAGAGCAGGAACAAATCACAGTTTGTCGGGACAAAACACAGGCCGGTGCTGATGTTGAGGATCCATTGACTACACTTGTTGTGGATAGGCATTCAGCATACATTAAGCATTCTGATGCATGATCTCTAAGGACTGACTGGTGATATTTGTTGGATCAGTGGAATCTGATTTCTTTTCAAGAAGAATGCACTACACCTTTGCAACAATTATGTAATCAACTGTTAAAAAGAGAGATATCTTTCCACCCTACTCGACCAACCACCACAGGCCACAGGCTCTCTTGAAAGAGGAAAAAGAAAGAGGGTAACTTTTAGTTGTTCCAACTGCGGAGTCTTTTTTTCTTGTTAAAGAATATGTTTCATGAAAGAAAAAGTAGCTGTACCCCTTAATTTATTATAGAAGAATATGTACTTTCAGCGCTGGCTATAATTCTTACAGTTCCCATTTAGAAGTTAGCAGCACCATATTACTCCCTTTTCTCTGGGCATGATGTTTTTCTAGATGATAGCTGTTTTTTAGTGTCTTGGTAGCTTCTAAATCATACAGCTGATCTGGTAATCTGGGAACCAGCATTAAGTTACCTTAACTTCGAAAGTTTAGCACGAGAGTCCCGTAGTTAAAGTACTCAAATGAATATTATACAATATTTGGAAAAAATACTACTTAATTGGTGTGTGTGTGTGAAATACACATGCTTTGCATCTTAGTACAAAAAACACTGGGTGAACCGTCTGGATTGTTGTTGACTTCTAAAGAGCAGCAGTATTTATAGAAAGAGAGATAGCATCTATGGAAGCATAAACATGGCATACGGCAAACTAAATCCTGCAACCTTGCCAAGTATAGTACAACTATGATTGGTGCCGGCAAACTAAATCCTGCAACCTTGCCAAGTATAGTACAACTATGATTGGTGCTTATCTAAATAACTTACGAAGATGCTATTTGTTCGTTTCTACAGCGACAGACGGGAGATATCATATATACAGTGTTTTCTTCCTCCTCTATTGTACAATACATTGTTCGGATCAGCCTCAAGCAACTTCCCAAAATACTGCATTCTTCATCAGGTGCATGGAGGAGAACCCACACACATTGAATTTTCTATAATTTTTCACCATCATCCTCTTCGAGCTCCAGACCTTCAGCAGCAAGAAGCCTGCTAAAGATCTTTTTCTTTTCTTCCTCTGCTTTTCTCCGCATTATATCTCTTTTCCGTAAGACAAGTGTATGCCGCTTCAAAGTATTATTAAAGTTCTCCAAGGATGCCTTTTTCTCTTTAGCGATAATTCTCCTTTCTTCGTCAGGATCCATCTGAAAGTCCATTTAAATAAAATTTAAGATGACAATCGGAAAGGGATCTGGACCATATCTATAGTCCCAAGAGTGGAATGGAGAAAAGGACGTAAGATTTGAGTAACAGCAAGCTAATCAACCACTGCTTGATCATATGTATGGTATAATGCAGATTTAAGTGACCTGCTCGTGTATTGCGTTCACCAAATGACGAATATCCATTACTACAGTGAGAAGAGAGGAGCTGAGAGGAAAGAAAGCAAATATTGATGAAGTGATCAAGCATACCATGCATTAATTTTGCCTTTTAATGTGGATTTGAACTTTATGGGTTTGGTATGCCACTGAACCCAGTGACCATTTGAGTTACTGCATTCAAATATTAATATTAATACATATTTAGTAGATTTCTTAACACATATAGGGTTTGAGCCAAAGCTACTGGGTTCAGCTGAAACAATAACTTATAGCGTACATCCGCCCCCTAATAGTGCAAGGCAAGTGGGTTAGTTGAGTATGCTAGCTGATAGTTCCCCCTCTTAGCTATAATCCAACTCTGTGGTAACGATAGAAAGACACTGAGCTGTGGAAAAATCAATCGGCCGAGTCCATGTGGAAAAATTTGATGCAAATGTTCCAGGGCAGTTAAAGCATACATTAAATGCAGATAGTAGTTCACAGCAAGAAAGTGGATCACCAAACCAGCTAAACTTCCATCCAATAAAATAACATGCTTCCTCTGCATGCCAAAAGTCGTGTTTAATGAAGATAATGCTATTTCAATCTCTTCAGACTATCAAAAAATATGTTAGTAGTATATTTCCACGTGGGATTTTCAGAACCACATTATGTTCTACCGAGAGGTTAAAAGTATTTAAAGGCTAAAGCACATCTTAGTATGTGCATATGTTGAAGTGACATAATCAGTGCATTACCAACATAAAAATGCATAAGTTAACAAGGGTAACACAGGCAAAGGCACTTATAGACGACTCTAAGAGCGCTCAGAAATGCAAAGAATGTACTAATAGCAGCTCGATACCTTTGAACGAGCGAGACGGCGGACCTTCAGATTTAATTCTAACTGCTGTTGTTCAGCCCATGCAGCAATGGCCATATCACCCCGCTGGTCAAATGCTTTTCGCTTTTTCATAAGCCACTCCACCCATGCTTCAGATGCCTGATAAATAATGGAAGTGCATCATGTCAGTTTGAGACAATGAAGATACTGCAGGCCCAGAAGCTAGAGACAAATAGAACCACATTCTGGAAACTTCCATTGGCAGCAAAAAATATAAACAAATCCAGCACCATCTGATTCCAATTACCCTGAAGGAGACGGATTGAATCATAAATAGTTCAATTACAGTCCCCAAAAAAAAAGAAGCCAATATTACAAGAACATAACACCTTTCTTTTTTTGCATTTGCTTTTGCAAAAACAAAGATTTTATTAACGCAAGGGTAACCCCAGAACACAAACAATATACAGAAGATCACTATACACATGTTATAATCCAAAGTCTATGTGCTCTACAGAAACACCCAAAAGAACAAAAAGCACGATGCTTCTCCCTCTGATAATCTAGTCCAATTTTGGCCTATCCTAATGAATTCCACTTCTACAGCGCATTTTACTTGTCCAGTCGTATCCCTACCCAACGAAGTATGTGGTTTCATTTGCATTTACTTGAATTCATTTATAATAGTTAATGTTGCACTCCAGACATCCCAACTCTCACAACGAGTGAACGGCAGGGGTATCTGTCTGTCTATACGAATGTAGATGCCATATATTTCATGACTGAAAAAATCTATTCTAAAGGAGCTGGATTTGAAAAATTAGGCAACAATCCACTGACAGGGGTCAATAATAAAAGGTCTTAATTCAGTCCAAGATCAGAAAACATCCATAATAAGCGAAAGGAATATGTGTTTAAGAAGTTCTTAATTTCTCATTTTTATATACATTTCCCCTTCCGTGTTCAAATTTGGTAGTTTGCACCTTAAAAACAATCACTCAGATGTTTCAAGAAGGAAGCAAGATGGAATATATTAAAAGGAGTATACTATAATTATGTTCTTTCAGGCTAGCAAAATTTCTTTCACGCGTCAACAAGAGGCTATATGTCTAACAGAACAGAGTCATTAAATCCTAGCCCATTTCAGATTGATAACTGACACTATCTGGGTAATAACCAATCTTCTCTTTGTTTATTGATGAAAAGATAATAAATTAACAACAATCAATATTATTATAAATTTTCACCTTCATGGGGTTCACTCGATTGTCAATATCATATTTTCTCCGTTCATCTTCATCTATAAGCAGCTCATAAGCAGCTTGAATCTTAATGAATCGAGCTTCAGCAGTTTCTCCTTTCTCAAGAGTCCCTCTGCCATTATAAACTTAAGAGGAGAAACAGAAGTTAGTTTCATATAGAAGAGAACAGCCTGTAGAAGAGCTCTAGGAAATCAATACTCCGAAGCAACAAGAAATTACCAAGATTGACCCTCAAGAGACGACAACCATTGTTTTCTTTTTGTGTATTTTTTTTTACACAGAACAAGGAGATCACTACACACAATCTCAATTCAGAAGGAAAGTAAAATATATAACCATCATAATTTATCCCTCCATTAAGGCTTAAGAGTTAAATTCCCAAACTGCCAACCACTTGAAGTTTGTGGTCCTATAGGCTATAACATCCAACATTTACTAGATTATTGTTTTTCTTAAGTTTTGAATTTCAACAGCCTAACGGGGCAAGAGGACTCAGCTTACTGAAGTTTTGTTCATTTCAGATTTCGTGATTGAGATAATGGACGTTCACACAACTGGAGCATTCTGACCAAACTAGTTGAGCTAGGAATAGGAATTTGTATGATTATTAAATGTTTCCTATGAGAAACTGCCATTAGTTCTATGCCTACTAAAATCTTATCTACGATATGTCCATTTTCCACTAGTGAGAAGCTGCAATGGAACACCTCAATAAATCAACTATTGATGGAAACAATCTCGTGGTATGCAGAAAAAGTATTTCCTAACATTAATTCATGAATTAGCTTCGCTGACAGGCCTGCTCAAATACGGCTTTTATGCTACAGGAATAGGTCATCAACTGTACAAAAACACATCATATAAATCAGTTCCAAAGCTAAATAGAGATTCTATCTAAGGCGTAATACAGAAAAACAGTAAGTGGAAAGGCATCTTACCAGTGAAGACAACTCAAATCATAACAAAAGCTGGAGAGGGGATTTCTTTTGGTGGGTGTGGGACACAGTTCCCTTTTCTTTTTCTTTTTTTGGAGGGGAGGGGTGTGTGGAGTGGGAGTTGGGAGGAAGAGTGGAAGTGTCGTATTACATCCAAGCTCTACTAATTGAAGATGAGCATACAACTTAAATATAATGTTATAAAAAAGCATGCTAGATAAAGTGTCCAATATCTAGATGTAGAACCAACTTCACACACTTACACACACATATACAAGCATATGTATTTAAAGAGTCTTTTTCTTCCTATACAAGCTCGTGAATACTAAGAGTGTGTTCTTCCTTTCTACTCAATGGCATGAATTGGATATCAAAGAGTAGTATACCAAACAAATTCTTTTATATACATGAACATGAGTATAGCTACAGTCTAAACTAGCATCAGGTCAAATACAAGTGAGCATAGCTAAAGTCTAAAGTAGCATCAGGTCAAATACAAGTGTGCAATATACTGATGCTTATACCAGAAAAAAGTAAAGAAAGGAAAAACGTATGTATGAGGACTGCACTAAAATGATAACTATAAGATTAAACACAAACCATCTGGATGGTAAAACTTCGCCAAACGTCTATATGCCACCTTTATTTGTTCTTCATCTGCATCCCTTTCGAGTTCTGTAAACAGAAACATTGCATCAATGTTTGCAAATAAGGAAAAAGCATCGAAATGCACAAAGTGAGATGGAAAGGGACTGCACTGCGGCTTATAGTCTGCTAAAAGGAAGGGGCTTTAAAGGTAGCTTCAGAGTTTGTCTTATTACTAAAACCAGTATAGCATGTCGGTAGTGTAGACACTTCATAGAAACTTGATAAGCAGGAACTAGGCTGTTCGTATAGGCATATCACACCTTTTACACATATATCTCAAGATGAAGATGTGCTTTATGAAGCCAGATTGGATAAACACCAAAAGCAGGAAAAAGATATAGGAAAGGCATGGAACGAAAAAATAAAAGTTGAACACTCATACGCGTAGAACACATGAAACTATGAAAATGCACTGTGTTAGTTAAGAACCATTTTCTACAGAAATTGACAGTTTCTTACAAAGATGTATACTCTGCAATTCGCTTTTCCAGCTTCTGGGTTATTCTATTATGTTCACTTGAGCTAGCAGAGGTAACAATTTATTTTTAACGCAGATTTGCAACTCCTAGTTCTCTATACTTCACTAAAGTTCAGGTATTTAACACAACATAAATGTTTCTAACCAAGTCCAATTCAAATACATATTTCATCAGAAAGCATTAATACCTTCTACCTTCTACTCCCTCCGTTCACTTTTACTTGGCATGTATACTAAAAATAAATTTTCATTTACTTGACACTTTACGCATATCAAGAGAAGACAAACAAAATTTCCTGTTATACCCACAGTATTTATTACTCATTTCAAATCATTTTCTCAAATCCAATAAAATATGCATCAATTAATATGAGTATCATGGTAAATTATGCACTTCATTTTATTATTCCTTAAGGGGCGTGAAAAGTCAAAACGTGCCAAATAAAAGTGACGGAGGGAGTATTTCATAATCCAACATATCCTTATAGCGCTTTAATTCTTTCTCTGCTTTTTCTATAAGATATTTTCTCATCGTAGTCGCCATCAAATCGAGCTCAACTTTTATAGATTGACAATCTGAATAATATTTTTGAACTGGATTTTTTTGAAATGGACAATCTGAATAATATTACATAAGCAGCTTACTTGGAAACTAATTACAAGTAAGCATCTATTCTAAACATGGATTGGTAACCTAGAATATATGGTAAAAGGCTTTCTATAACCAATTAACCTACACTTACTATGCAATTTTTTTTTAACACTATCACTTGTATATAAGTTAAATCCAAGCAAACTAAGAGTATAAGTTTTATACACAACTAACGTAAAAATGCTTTACACCTACTAGGTCATTTAAAAGCCAACTACAGGTTTGTCTATAATAAGCATGGGCGGAGCTAGGGAGGTGGAAGGGGATTCAACCCTTCGCTAGAAAATTACACTGCTTATACAAGGTTAAAATTATTTTTATGCATATATAGTAAATGTTGAATCTCCTTGGCTTTTTCGTGTGTTGCTCCGCCACTGATAGTAAGCGCTAGATCAGTAACCTAAAGTACAAGCAAGTACAAGTAATTGTCTATAGTAAGTGTTATATCAGTAACCTAGAAAATACACAGGTAACTACATGTAACTGTCTATAATAAGTTAGCGGTCATTAACCTAGAAAGTATGGTAAGTATAGGGATTAAACACACCAATGCTGTAAAAATACCTCACACCTTTAAATCCAAATAATAAAATTTGAACAAAAATCCTGGAAACAGAAAACGGAAACAAAAATTTATATACCAAGAGTTTCATAGGGAGACTTGGAGTCGTTCCAATTGTAAGCAGAGGTAGTCACAGTTTTCCTCTGCTGATTCAATCGATAATCCCATGTTTCAATTCTTCTCGAAGTACTGTACAATGATGATTGCAGCACCGAAGGTTTCATCCATTGAGGGGCTGAATTAGGGCTTCGGATTGAAACCCTAACCGCTGATTTACCCAATAAGTCTCTGCAACAACAGGTTATTGAAAAATACACAGCTTGTGGTCTACATATTGATCTCAAATTGCTCATAACTTTGGATTTTTCAGCTAAAATCCGTTTGTCTTCAAGAGTTCTTTTGAAATTTATTCCTTCAGTGGAGTAGAGAATCTCTACTTACCAAAAAAGAAATGAATCTTTTGTGAATCTAATTTTATTTATTTATTTATTTTTCTTCCAGTTTTTTGCCATCAGATTTGTGGACGGTTTATTTCGTTACATTGGAGGGAAAATTACGTAATGACTGTTGTACCCTCCAGCTTTACATTTATTCTTGTGTTTTCCTTTTTCTTATTTTTTGTTTGGAGTTTAATTTCTTTGTACTCATGAGTACGGTTGGCATACATGTGGGTCGGGTATCGATGGGTAAAAACGGATAACGCAAGAGATGGATAAATATCCAACTCGGTCTATATTTAATACGGATAGAAAATAGGTTAACGGACGGATAAAATGGATATCCATATTATATATGGCTTTTAAAGAAAATGACTTTTGGGAGAACTCTTAGCTAGCGTTTGGCCATAGATCCCAAATTTATTTTGAAAAATCTGATTTGGGTGAAGTTTAATTTGAAGATGAAAAGGTGTTTGGACATACGTTTTCAAAACATATTTTCCAACTTTATTTTGGAAAAACGTGTATATAATTTCCAAGTTTTGGGATTTTGGCCTAAAATCAGCTCAATAGCTGATTTTGTGATTTGGGATTTGGCCAAAATATGGGCAAAATTTATGGCCAAACATGAGTTTTGAAAATAAATCCCAAATTTATTTTGGCAAAACTTATGGTCAAACGGGGCCTTAGTCTCTCAAACTTGAGGAATTTATTTACCCGTAAAAAAGTACAATAATTAAATTTGTATACATTGTTTATAGACACCTGAATAAAGATGATCTGATTAGTAAATTATAAATAACAAAGATAATAAGATAAAGATACTCTAAGAAAGAACAAGCATGTATTTTAGTTAAATGCCACCGGAATCGAGCTAACCAGAAAACTTCAACAAAGCCTTTTTTATGAAACTATGTATGGTACTAAGAGAAAGAGAGATCGCTTCTATAATCCTTGTATTTCATATCCCGATAATGAGTACAAATGTTGTTATATATAGTAAAATTTGAGGAGACAAGATCCTCAAATATCGATCTCATAAAGAGTGAATAGAACCCCCTATTTATGGTTGCATAACGTTGGAAATAAATGATGAGATTTCCTATAACGGTTGCCTCTTCAATGTTAGTTTTTTCAACCGATGCCTTGCTTTCAAACTTACTTCTCTGATCTTTATATCCTCGGAATTCACATAATATCAGTCACATATCTGTATTCGGTATCCGACTAGCTACTGACTCATATCCATCATGTCTCCACTGCAAACGTGTCTGCTCGAGAGACGTCCACCTGTAAAATCTAAATTTTACACAATATAAAGAACCACAAAGTTGAGTCTTTGCAATTGTAAATGTCAAACCCATTGGCTATCCATTTTTAAGTGGATAGTATGGATCTTCTCCATATTTGACCCATTTTTAAAAGTTTATTATCTAAACATTTATAACTTAAATTCCTTTGAATTTTATTTTCTCTCTTCTTCCACAGCTCCAATATTGTTTTTGACAATTTCTTCATTATTATCGGGACATTTATTGTGCTTATTTCCTTTTTCAATTCCTATAACCAATATAGAGCAAAAAATAAAATCACCAAATTAGACCTTTAATTGTCTAGTATCTACAAAGTGTATTTGTGTAACGACCGAACCGGTCGTTTTGAGCTCTAGCGCGTCGTCCAGGAGTTTGAGGCCATGAGCAGCTTCACTTCAGGTATTATGACTTGTACGCATGGTCGGAATTGAATTCCGGGAAGTTCGGAGTTGATTTGGAAAGAGAATTCTCATTTTGGAAGCTTTAAGTTGAAAGAATTTACTAAGATTGGATTTTTGAGCAAATGACCTCGGAATCGGGATTTGAAGGTTCCAACAGGTTCGTATGATGATTTCGGACTTGGGTGTATGTCCGGATCGGGTTTTGGAAGACTTGGAAACGTTTCAGCACCTATTGTGGAAGTTAGCATTCTTTTGAAAGAATTTCATAAGTTTGGGTTGAAGTGCATTTTAGTGTTATCAATGTCCGTTTGGGATTCCGAGTATGGGAATAGCTCCGTATGGTGATTCTAGTGTTGGGAGCGCGATCGGAAGTGAATTCGGAGGCCCGTGGGTCATGTTGGAGTCATTTGGCTAAAGATAGAAATTTGAAGGCTTTGAGGAGTTTGAGCGGAAGTGGACTTTTTGGTATCGGGGTCGGAATCCGATTCCGGAAGTTGGAGTAGGTCCGTAATGTCAAATATGACTTGTGTGCAAAATTTGAGGTCAATCGGACGAGATTTGATAGGTTTTGGCATCGAATGTGGAAGTTAGAAATTCTAAAGTTCATTAAGCTCGGAATGAGGTGAAATCCATGAATTCAGCGTTGTTTGATGTGATTCGATGGCTCGACTAAGTTCGTAATGTGTTTTGAAACTTGTTGGTATGTTCGGACGGGGTCCCGAGAGGCTCGGGTGAGTTTCGGGGTGGTTTCGGACCATTTCTAGGCTATTTTTAGCTGCTGGTTTTTGGCTACAGCAGTATGCTACGCGATCGCGGGGAAACAGTCGCAATTGCGATGAGTAAAGTGGGAGAAAATGGCCAGTGACTCGCGATCGCGGAAGGACTTTCGCGATCGCATAGAGGAAAGTTTTTGCTGCACTGACTCGACTTTGGAAGCTTGTATCTCGCAATCTATAAGAAATTTGGAGATGATCCAAAAATAAAAGTTGTAGCCCTTTGTGTCTAGCTCTCAGAAAATCAAACCATTTGGTATTTGGAGTTGTGTACAAAAAGTTATGAGTGGTACACTACAGCCTATCCGGGAAGAGTTTGAAAATCGCGAAGAAGAAATTTGTGTTGCACAGGGCTGACTTTGGAAGCTTATATCACATAATCTATAAGGAACTCAGAGATGAGCAAAGCATGAAAATTATAGTTATTGGAGTCTAGTTTTCATAAAGTTAAACCATTTGTAATTTGGAGTTTTGTACAAAAAGTTATAGCCATTATACTAGAGACTGTCTGGAAGAGCTGGGCATTTGTTCTTCGTGATCGCGAAGGGCAAATTTTGGGCTGAGAGATGTTGTTCTTCGCGATCGCAAAGCATTTTCCGCAATCGCGAAGAGTAAATACCTAGGCAGAAGCTATATTTCGAGGTTTCGGCCATTTTTATCATATTTGGAGCTATGGAGCTCAGATTGAAGCGATTTTTGAGGCAATTTTCACCAAACGGATTGGGGTAAGTGTTCTATATCCGAAAGTAATTATACTTCATGATTCTATGGTTATATTCATCATTTATTTCAAATTTAAATGGAAGAAATCAAGATTTTTGTAAAACTTTTCAAGAACGAAAATTCAAGATTTGGAGGTCAAGTTGTTATCGGAATTTTATAAAATTGGTATGGTTGAACTCGTATCGGAATGCGTTGTCGGATTTTATGAGTTTTTTAGAATCCGGGCACGTGGGCCCAAGGGAGATTTTGTCAACTTTTCGAGCGGAGTTAGGAATTTATCTAAATTGAATTGTTGTGAGTATTAGAGCCTATATTTATGGATTTTCTCATTTATTGGCTAGTTTTGGAGCGTTGTGCACCGATTTGAGTCGTCGAAAGGGCTTGGAAGCCGGTTATGGAACTTCGGAGCGACGTAAGTCTCCTTTCTAACCTTGTAAGAGGGAATTATCCCCATAGGTGAAATAATTGATTATGTGCTCCTATTTATGGGGGCTACGTACGCACGAGGTGACGAGAGTCCGTGCGTAGCTACTATTACGTTTAAGTCCGGGTAGTCTAGGACCCAAAAGCATGCTATACCTGAAATATTTGTAATCTTATTGACAACTGAAATTGCCTAAATCATATCGAATTAGTAAAAGAATTTCTAAAAAGGGTTAAACCTCATTTTCTTAAATCGTTAAAAGAGAATTGACTTTTCCTTGGATAAATGTTTCTTGATGAATTCTTAATTGGTTGTTTGAATGTGTGTATCTATCAGTACCTGCGTCGCACATATGATTCGCGAGCGGGGTAACTCTATTATTTATATTTGACCGCGTCGCACGTATGATTCGCGAGCGGGGTAATAGATGCATCTATGGTTTGCGCCATTCGACCCTCCGGCAATGTACAGTTTAAATATTTATTGGATCGGGCCGTACGACCTCGACATGATTTGCGCATGCTTGCTTGAGATTTACAAATTGATATTGCCTCCCTGGTCTGAGATAAATTGATAAATAATGGATTATGAATTTGGAGACTTCTAAATATAAAAAGGAATGTTTACTTGTTTCTTGACTTACTTGAGTTTACTACCGTTTTTAATAAATCCATGATTATTCGCATTATTAATATATTATTATTAGACCACTAGTAAGTGTCGAAGTCGACCTCTCGTCTCTACTTCTTCGAGGTTAGACGGGATACTTACTGGGTACACGTTGTTTTTGTACTCATACTACACTTGCTGTGCATTTTTGTTGCATAGGCACATGTATGTCTAGTGGCCTAGTTGGGCGCAACGGCATGGTTGATATGGAGACTTAGGTGGGCTGCACCTCTCGAGACGACCCGCAGCCAGCAGAGTCTGCTTTAGAGTATTGTACTGTATTTTCTTTTCTGTCCAATTTGTATTCCGGACAATTGTTGTATTACGTTATATCCTAGAAACTGCTCATGCACTTATGACACCGGGTTCTGGGATGATTATGGGGTATTCTGTATTAACTTCTAAACATTCTTTTATTTATTTTATAAAGATTATCCTTTACAAGCCAAATTGAAGAAAAATCATAGTTTTCACAATTATTTAAACGAGAATTTAATTAAGTATTTATGGTTGGCTTGCCTGATAGCGGTGTCCGGCGCCATCACGACCCTTAGTGGATTTTGGGTCGTGATAATTTGATTTCTCATTCAAGAGTTTCAAAGAAATTTGAAGTTGATCTTGGTGTAATCGGAAAGAAAAAAGTTTCTGTCATGCGATAAATGGAGATTGTACATTGGCATTCTTTTATAAGGGAACACACTTGAAATCCAAAGAGCAACATCCTCCTAAGCACACGATACTAATCACCGCG